TCATTATAGAAAATTCAGAAGATCAACAGTAGTCATCAGAATGTAAAAACCAAACTAAAAACCGGTCATGCGACAAGGAATCCTTGGCGCCCGCTAAAGAATGAAACAAGCAACTGTCGAATCAAGCTCACCCTTTTGCACAACTTTCTGAATCAAATTATGGCTCCAAAGGCGTAATGTGAGATAATTATCAAACAAATTTGGAAAAAGAAAAGATTTAATTTACATGAGACCATTAGAAAACAGCAAGATAAAACAAGAGAAAAATGGCAAGATCCGAGGATAGGACCGCTACATGAAAACACTGCTGCTATTTCAAATATCTAACAATAACACAAAACTATTCAACCCAGCTAGCTGGCATCCAACTGGGTGAATTATCAAGTTTAATTACAGTTTGGCACAGTTGCTTCACAGTAAAATCTAAGTTTTCATTTACCAGTACTACGTCACAGAGATGCCCGTACATCTGATATAAGTGTTCTCCCGACGCGACCATTTGTTCTAAATCTGCATCGCTAAACCTTCGACCAACGGTATTGCAACCAACGCTACTCGCTTCTGTTTGCAATAAAAAATGCTGCTGTCGAGTCTCCTTAAAATTAGAATGAAAATATTAACCGCCTCGAGAAACCAACAACTCGCTACCTAATAATTTTAAAAATAATTTCTGTGAAGTGTCAAGAAACTGATATAATTCAGTGCAGAACATGCTCCAATAGAACTTTAATAAAATTATATACACAATATACTTTTAGTTTTTCCAAACATGGAGGGCGAATAAATATCACAAAAGCTTTGAACTCTTGAGAGCGAAGAATCCTAAGCGCCAAAGGATGAGGGTTTAAAACTGGTGTCTTACCTGAACCAATCAGAAAATAAAAGTGTGTCATTAATATAACAGAATAAGGAAATTCAAGCCAGACGAAAAATGCAGTAAAATCAAAAAAAAAAAAAGGAACCTTTCTTTATAACATCCACCACAGAATCAATCAACGTTCCATAAATGTTCCCTTTATATTCCCCGAATTCTAAAAATCTTCCTTGAACAATCCACTGTTCCATGTCTTCACGGTTAGCAAAATGATAGTCGATACCGGGTATTTCATGCAGTCTAAAAAAGACAGTAAAAAACCATCTGTTTGTGAATCATACATAACCTTTGAAAAAAGAACAAATCCTCCTCTCGCTCTACAACGAACTATGCCACTTTCTCTGATCCAAAAAAGCTGGTCCATAAAAGAACTCTTAATTAGCTTTTTTACTCCTGAAGTAAGAAGACGCAAAGAAAGCGCAGAAGAACTTCCAATTTATAACCAAAACAGCTCAGTCCTTATTTTTATAAAGAAACAATAAATTAATTTTTGCAAGTAAGTACCTTGGTGGCCTACTCGTGTGTGGCACAGTGGTGGTAAACTTCTCACAATTTGACATTATCAGACGCCTCTTCAGTTCATTTCTGCCTACTCCACTTGGACCTATCAAAACAATAGGTCTAATCAGCGATGTATCGGGATAAGCCAAACAGACAGGTTCGTAAAGGTGTGCGTCAGAAGACTAAAATAAATACAATCTAGCAGAAACAAATATAGTAGTCACAAGTTTCAAAAAACAAATCAAAGGATGCATACATCAGAAAGACCGCTAGGTGTTTTTTTCCCCAACTTGCTTCTTTCTTCATATTCCCTTTGAGCACGTATTTTTGAATGCAATAATTCAGAAGGTATCAATCCTACTTTTTCTGGAATATCCTTACTATCTGAAAAAAGCTTTTCAGATTAATCCCTACTGTGACAAAATCAGTGTCTAAACAAGAATCTCTTTATATAATTCATTTATGAAAACAACAAATAAGTTGTAATTAAAAAAAAAAGATCTCGCTTTCAAATCCATTTCAAAAAAATTATCCCTCGAATTCGATTAGAATCTAGAAATCTACCTTGTGCACAATTGACAAAGGCACCATTTCCAAACGACTTTGCCTGCCACCAATGCTCATCTGCTGTAACCAAAAGTTCTAGCACATCACCGCGCCTGAAAGACAATGCAGCTTCCGGGCAAGGGTGCAAGCTATCTGAATGGCCAGAGTAATCAGCCTAGAATAAAACTTAGATGGCAATGATATATTTAAAGCCTTAAAAACTACAGTATAGAAAAAGTTTAAGTGTATTACAAGTACATTCATTCTTAACATGAATGAAAATTTCAAAATTATCAGTGAAATTTACCAAAGCGCGAAGATACTGTTTTTCACCGCTTTCGATAATAGTCGGAATGCGTGCAGGAATAAGTTTAAAAACAACAGTTCCAGTACCATCATTCAGCAGCCGAACAATGTCAGTTGGTTTCATTCCGTTTACAGGAACATTGTTAACTTCAATTAGACGATCCCCAACCTAGATCGACTACTCCTCATCAAACTCCTTTTATTTCACAGATGAGAAAAACATTAGAAATAAACTGAAAGTAACCTGAATACAGGCACTCCGATCAGCGACTCCACCTGCAATAATCCGTGCAATGAAAACCGCTCCACTCGCGTCGCATTTTATCGTTGCACCTAACGGCTCATTTCCTCGAATAAGCCTAACTATTTTCACTGCTACTCCTTCATCATCATCCACTTCAAACGGTATTTCTGGTAGTGGTGGAGTGTAACGTTGATTTGACACATTGTCATAGGCATTAAATAATGCCTGCAAATGGTGCAAGCAAATTAAAATAACAAGA